CTGTTACACATTCTTCCTTGTCCTGTAATGAAGTTAGTAAGTGACTCATTCCACTCAGATAGCAAAGAGTAGACGGATGATCCTAGAACAGCTGTGGTGATCACTGCGTTTTCTAGGGGACTCGTAATGATCGTGAATGGAAAGGACAGCCAAGATATCCTGCAAGGGAATAAACTGATTTTAACATAGAACTTTCGCACAGAACTCCTGTGAACCTGGAATCCTGCTGTCATCCCAGAGATCTATTCTGAGATCCACTTGCATTCAGTTTGCTCTCAGAGGTCTGGGGAGACTAGGATAACAGAATTTATTTGGGCATTGAAGAAGGGGTTCAATCTAGCAGACTGAGGTGAGGGCACCTGTGTTTGATTAATCTTAGTTGCCAACTTGATCAGGTCGAGAATCAGCCACCTGGGAGATGCCTTGCATAAAGAAACCTGCCCTGCATCCTGTGGCCATTCTGAGGTGGGGCCTTGGACTCACTGGCTAGCAAGGCTGCTGAAATGCCTGGGCCTTGGTGTGGGCAGAGAAACAGGAGGGGCTGTCTTGTTCACATTTTGCAGTTCCAGATCCATGGTTCCTGCAGTCACGATTTGTCCTCTCTGACAAGTCGTCCCAGTGGGGACATAATCTTGACTTTATGGCTCACTGCCCTTGTCTGGGAAGCCCTTTGGGGGAAGGGGGAATAGAAGTTAAGTTTGCACTCTGGGGGAAGTTGCAAGCAGGAGTGGAGTAGCAGGAAGAAGGAGGATTAAGATGAGCTGGGAGTTTTATGGTGTGAGGGGCCTCAAACCATTCTCCATTGTGTTTTAAGAATTTATCTAAGTCAGTTTAGATATTAAAATCAAAAATTTCAAATTTGGGCCACTGGTGGTCATTGCCCAAGGTATACTGAGGCAGAATTGTACCTGGAGTGGAACAAGGATGGCTGATCTCAGATCTCCCAAACGGAGGCTTTTTAGATCAGCCTACACACAGGCTAACGGTATGTAATTTAGAACCCGTGGTATGTACAGAACCAGGTAAAAACAGCTATCCAGGGGCATTCCATACGTTCCTGATAAACCAAAAGTGCCTGGAAAGTAGGAGGGTGTCCCCAGACTAGTATTTTTTTTTTTTTTAAAGAGCCAAGAGCTCCCAGACTGCAGACAGCTCCCATAATTCTCACCTGAGCAAGTCCTGCAGGGCCTGTGGAGAGTTCCAGAAAGCTCCCACAGTTCTCAGCTGAGCAAGTCCTGCAGAGCCTGTGGAGAGTTCCAGAAAGCTCTTATAATTTTCACCTGAGCAAGTCCTGCAGGGCCTGTGGAGAGTTCCAGGAAGCTCCCACAATTCTCACCTGAGCAAGTCCTGCAGGACCTGTGGAGAGTTCCCACAGCCTCAATTGAGCAAGGTGTGTGGGTGTATGGAAAGTGCCCAAAACCAATCTCAAGATGAGACACAAGGGTCCTGCCCTGAGCCTCTGAATACCTTGCCCTTATGTTTTTGGCTGTGTTGGGAACCTGTTCTGGTTGATTGAAAATTGCCTCTTCTCTAGAGTCAGTGAAACTGACATGGGAGGGGAGGAATGTTAGGGTTTTTTTTTTTTTTTTTTTTTTTTGGATAGGAAAGATGATGGTGGAGAGGGGAGGATCTTTTTTTGTTTCGTTTTTTTGTTTTTTGTTTTTTCAAGACAGGGTTTCCTCTATGTAGCCCTGGCTGTCCTGGAACTCACTCTGTAGACCAGGCTGGCCTCTAACTCAGAAATCCACCTGCCTCTGCCTCCCAAGTGCTGGGATTCAAGGTGTGCATCACCACTGCCCAGCAGAGAGGGGAGGATCTTGAGAGGGACAAACAGGTAAGTCTGCCCGTTAGGTGGTCTTGAAAAGACTCAGAAACAATGCTAGACAATCATGTTCACCAGAGCCCAAGCTGTCAACGACCTTCGGAGACTTGAGGCTAGCAGGAAGCATCCAAGGACTGATCCAAGGTGAGAAGGGTGGGAAGAGAGAGAAAGGTCAGGTGAAGGAGTGGCTACCTGAAAGGCAGATGGTCCAGTCAAGCTCATGTGGGTTTACATAGAACACCAGTGAGGTCCCCAGGGCCAGAGACCCCATCCACAGAATTTACATCATTCATGGAAGCAGAGGACACAAAGTCTTGAGGCACTAGGTAGACTGGTGGCTGTTTCATCTATATAGTGAGCTTGGCTGGCATCTGTACTCCCAAGAGGAATGGGTCCCAAGAGTAGGCAAGGATGGTAAGAAAGACAAAAGGTCTCATAAAGAGGGCTTGGAGCCATTTGCTAGGGTCAAGGGTCCAGGTGCCCTCCTTGGATTTCTAATGCTGCACAATATTGGATTGCTGGGGCAGCTTAAAGAGACAGGAGGTAGAAAGAAGATAGTCCGACTTCAGCTGACAGGACTGTCTATTTCAACCTGACTTACAAAGTAAGTTCTGGGCTAGCCAGGACTATGAAGCAAAACTCTTTCTCAGAAAACACCAAGGAATTCAATAGAGAGGCAAAACAGCAAGGATAAAAGCAGAAGGTTCCATACTGGACTCTACGTGAAGCCTGACTGTGATCCATGACCATGGGTTTGGTTCTGCCCTTAAGACAGGTTTTCATGTAGCTAGACTGGCCTTGAAATTGCTATATAGCTAAGCATGACTTTAAACTCATGATTCTCCTGGTTTCACCTCTCACATGCTATGTATACAGGCAAGCATACCATAACATACACCAAGCATTTGTGATACCCTCTGCAAACACCTAGAGCCGGACATCTAAGGACCCACTGGCCTTGTCTATTCCTTTTCTATTCCTTTTCTATGACCAAGGCAACTTAGAAAAGAACGCATTTAATTTTGTTTTTCTTTTTTTCTTTTTTTTCGAGACAAGGTTCCTCTGTATAGCCCTGGCTGTCCTGGAACTCATTCTGTAGACCAAGTTGGCCTCAAACTCAGAAATCCACCTGCTTCTGCCTCCCAAGTGCTGGGATCAAAGGCATGCGCCACCACTACCCTGCTTAATTTTGTATTCATGGTTTCAGAGAATTAGAGTTCATGACCACCATGAGAGAGCATAAAAACAAACAGGCAGGCATGGCACTGGAATAGCAGCTGAGAGTTTGTGTCTGATCCGCAAGCACAAGGCAGAGAGGAAACTATTGGGAATGACATCGGCTATTGAAACCTCAAAGTGACACTGTTCCTCCATCAAGGTCATGCCTCCTAATCCTTCCCAACAGTTCCACCAACTGGGGACCAAGAATTTAAACATGAGAGCCTAGCAACATTTGTGTTCAAATTACTACAGGAGGTGGTGTAAAAATGTGTTGGTTAACAGGATAGTGAGATGTTCCTATCTGTAGTGGTTTGGCCCCATAGATTCATGTGTTTGAGTGCTTGGTCCACAAGGAGTGGCACTATTAGGAGGAGTGGCCTTGTTAGAGTTGGTGTGGCCTTGTTGGAGGAAGTGTGTCTTCTATGCTTGAGCTCTGCCCAGTGTGGAATTCCAGTCTCCTCCTGGCTGCCTGTGGAAGACAGTCCCCTTCTGCTGCCTATGGATCAAGATGTAGAACTCTCAGCTCCTCTAGTACCATGGCTGCCTGCAAGTTGCCATGCTTCCTGCCATGAAGGTAATGGACTGAACCTCTGAAACTGTAAGTCAGCCCTAATTAAATGTTTTTCCTTATAAGGGTTGCTTTGGTCATGGTGTCTCTTCACAGCAATTAAGACACTATCCTAATATGGTCCTCACACAAATGGCACACAGATGTGACTAAACAACTTGTTACAAAGGAACTTCTATTCTCTTGTCTGGGTCAGGGTAGTAGAATGATTCTCTCTCATTCACCCATTGCAGCTCTGTTTCTGCTATTGTGTGTGGGTTCCCCTCCCCCTTTTAAAGATTCATTTTTAATTATGTGTTTCTGTGAGTGGGTATGTGCATGTGTTTACAGATATTAGCAGAGGCCATGGGTGTTGGGTCCCCAGGAGCTGGAGTTTACAGGTATCCAACATGGGTACTGACAACTAGATTTGGATGCTCTGAAAGATTCACCGCTGTACTTTCTTTTCTTTTAAAATAATTTTTAAGGATTTAATTTTATGTGTGTGTGTTGCCTGCATGTATGCATCTGCACTTCAGAAGTCAAAAGGTGTTTGATCCTCTGGAATCCATGTGGGTGCTGGGAACTGAACCAGAAACAAACATTCTTAACGGGTTAGCTATCTCTTTTGCGCCCAGTGTATTTTCTTTATTATATCCTTTGTTCTAATTGCGTTCTAGATAGCAAGCAAATGGCTATTCCGGTATGGGGAGGCAATATGAAACGCCCTTTTCCCTTTGTTTTTGGGCAGCCGCAGAAGCCTACAACTGCTGGTGGGGATGGTGTACTTGTGCAGCTCCGGTACTGCCTTCGGACCCCGTCTCGCCTCCTCTTTCCGGAGCAAGTCTACATGCTCCTCCAAGTTAAGGGTCGAATCTTAAGCGTCCTTGAGTTCCCAGTACGAAAGGGACTAGTTCTGGCACAAGGTAATATGCAAACAACGCTTATTCCACTGAACTGCAGCGCTGTGTAGAGCCTTATTATTTTTTTTTTAGATTTATTTATTTTATTTATGAGTACAGTGTACACTGTCGCTGTCTTCGGACACACCAGAATAGGGCATACAATCTCATTACGGATGGTTGTGAGCCACCATGTGGTTGCTGGGATTTGAACTCAGGACCTCTGGAAGAGCAGTGCTCTTAACCGCTGAGCCATCTCTCCAGCCCGTGTAGAGCCTTAGTGTCCAACGTCCGTAAACCTCAGGCGAGGACGGCCTTGGGAAAGCTCGGGATTGGCTCCTCCCGAAACAGAGGTTAGGGGGGAACACTGGCTTCCGGCAACTGCGGGAAGGAAACTTGCACAGAGCCAGGAACTCAGTTTCCGTGGCAACCACCTAGAGGTGTGGCCACTGTCAGGACGTCTCTATGGTTTCTGCATCCTAGAGGGACCGAAATTCACTTCCGGGAAGATGGCGGCACCCAAGTCGGGTGTGACACGTGCTTCCACGGAGAGAAGTGTACACTGACGGTAAGGAGCTTGCTTTCCCCAGGGGCAAAGGCGAAAATCCGAGAGTGGTTCCACCCTGTTGACTCTGTGGCTGCGGGGCTTGGATTTATAACAGGAGGAAAAGGCGGCGGCTGGTGCCAACGGGTGGCTCGGGCCTTCCTTTGGAAACTGGCTGGAGAGGAGGCAGCGTCTCAGTGTACTACTTGCAGCCTTCACAGATCAGGCTGTGTCTACCCACGGCTGTCCATTACAAGTGCGTTAAAAGCGATTCCTACTGTGTCACTTGGTTCAATCCAAAAACGCTGAACGCATTCTCGCTGTAATTGTCAAAGGCTGGAAAATAAAGCTTGTCTCCGACTTCCGGGGAGTGTGGTTTTGAGTTACTGTGATGAAAAATAGGATGTGAGAAGTCTTATAGCAGAAAGAACAAGCTGTAAAGCCCCAAAGCAGTTGCTCATGAAATGCGTCACTACCAATTCTGGATCTACTACTTGCCAGTTGTTTGGTTCTTTAATTATCAGTGTTCGATTTCTTCTTCGTAAATTAAGGATAAGTAATACCTTCTAATAAGATGTTGGCAGGCATCAATATAAGATGGTCCACGTGAAGCAGTTAATAGCAGGCTGGTGGTGAATCAATGCACCACAAGTGTGGGGTATGATTATTCTTACTGTTAAAATAATCAGAGATAATTTCTGAGAGGTGATAGTTGCATGGTGACCACAGCATCTAAATTTTACTTGTGTTTTCATAGCAACAAGCAAGGTAGCACCTGGAAGAGAGGCAGGCCGGTGTAACCCTGGCCAGCCAGGCTACTTAGTGAGACCTCAAAAACAAAAAATCCAAGAGGAAAGGTAGGACTATTTCTTCACCCTGTTTTTCTGTTGCTATGCTCACAGTTCCGTTTTCATTTGGGCTTCATGTAATTACCCTTCCTAGTGAAAAGGTGGATAGACACGTGATTCTTCCTGAACTCACCGACATGAGACACCTGCCAACACCCTGCTTCCATTTTATAAGGTTTTGTGAGCTTTAGGGTATTTAGCTATGCAGAATCGGAGAATATTCCTAGACACCAGAGTACACAAGAGCATATTCCCTTAACAAAGGAATGTTATCACTGGGGTGATACCCGGGAAACTACACAGTCTACACAGTCATAAGAAAGAGAAAGAGACAGAGGGAGGGAGGGGGAGAGAGAGAGAGAGAGAGCATGCGAGCGAGCTAGGCATTAGTGTATGCTTTTGAGGCCATCCTTGTATACAGAGCTAATTCCAGGACAGCCAAGGCTGCAAAAACCTGTCTCAAAAAACAAACAAATGGGTTGGGGGGCAAGTAATAATATGGGAGGATTTCTGAGAAAAGACTTTGACCTCATAGGTCTCTAGAAAAGTCTCAGCCCAAAGGGGGCCCTGGGTCACATTTTGAGAACTGATAGAACGGATTATTATTATTAATGTAATATTCCTTTATTATTTAATGTATATTTAATGTATAATGTTTTTGCCTGCTTGTATTATGTGCATCCAGTGCATGCTGGATGCCAGTAAGCGGTGTGGGGAGATGTAAGCTGCCTTGTTCTTGCTGGGAACCAAACCCCTGTTTTCTGCCAGAGCAGTGCTCTTAACCACTGAGTGATCTCTCCAGGTCTCACAACTTGTTTCATACATCATATCAATTATGTCATCTCTTCTAATAGCCTCTTGTTGCCACTATTTAGTGCATTGGCTTCATTGCTGTGCTACATAACAAATTTCTACAGATTTAGTGGCTTAATTCAATAAATAAGCAAACCTAAAAAGAATTTTTGTGTACAGGTGTTTTGTCTGCTTGTATGTCTGTGTGCCACATGCATGACTGTTTCCCCGAGGAGACCAGAAGAGGGAACCTAATCCCCTGGAACTGAAGGTTGTGAGTTGCCCTATGGATACTGGGAATCAAACCCAGGTCCTCTGTCCTCTTAACCACTGAGCCATCTCTCCAGCCCCTGGGATGTGTGTGTGTTTGTGTGTGTGTGTTTGTGTGTGTGTGTGTTTGTTTGAAATGTGTATGTGAGCACATGTGTTGGAGGCGGTGCATGCATATTGAGGCCAGAGGTCAACCTCAGGAATTAACCACCTGTTCTTTTGGGACTGAGTCTAACGGATTAGGCTGGGTAGGCTGGCCATCACTGGGATTAGAAGTGTACACCACCATGCCTGGCTTTTTGCAAGGTGCTTTTGAAGTCTTGTCCTAAAGTCCTGACCACTTTTTATCTCCTAGTCTCTTCAGTTTTTAGAGGAGTTATGTTACCTTGGTGTTTTGTGTTCCTTGAGATTTGCACATCAGGGATTAGGTCATTGGTGGAATTTAGTGGGTGGGAGAGGTGGCTCAGTCATTAAGAGTACTTCTCTTCCAGAGGACTTGCATTAGTTCCTAGCACCCACACGGTGGCTCACAACCGCTTACAACACCAGTTCTAGAACAGCCTCTTCTGCCTTCCGATGGTACTGTGCGCACATGGTCCATTTACATGCAGTCAAAACGCTCATACAATTAAACTAATTTTTTTTTTTTAAGTTTTAAAAATACCTTTCTTCTTTCAGAAGTATTCACAGTGTTCAGTAGGGACTCTGCTATTCTAGGGCTGAGCTGTCTTTTTCTTCTAGACTAATGATTAGAAATTAGAATACCATCTGCATAGTCAGTATCAAAGAGTAGGCCTACTGTGAAATACAGTAATAGCCAAACAGAAAAATAAGCACCAGTCATTTCAGGGAGTAACAGAATATGTACAAAGAGAAGAAACTTGGGGTAGGACAAGTGGTCAGTCCTGCGTTGGTAGAGAAAGGTAAAGGGGAATTATACAAGAGAGAGTGGAGGGCTGTGGAGCCAGGTGGTTTGGGCCGAAAGCTGATCACAAAAGAGAAATACAAGCAGATGTGAAAGGACATCCTACCCCCTGGAGTCTAAAACACATATGAGGTCCTGTAGACCTGGCTAGTCTGTGTTCTCTGAGAGAGACAGGCAAAAGGAGAGAGAAGCAGACCAGGACAGAGCTGGCCCTCTTCACGTTCCCAGTTGCAAGTGCTGGCCCTGGCCTGTGTGATTCCTGCATGTTCAGCACACTGCCTGACTTCTATATTTAAGTCCCCTGCAGACTCTGGTCCCACCGAGTTCCACATCAAATGCTTTAAAGACCTTTCCCTTAAATCTAGACGCTCCTGTGTCACTTGTGTGTTTCTTAAGAGGCTAATCCACAAGAGGGGACCCTTTTGAAATGTTGTTTACAGCTGTTTTAACAGCTCCAAGAGAAAGCCAGGCATTTGCACCTACTGAAGTGTTCTTGTAAGGACTCTGCCTCATTCTGCTCTTGAAAGTGTCTGTTACTGGAATTAACTGAGGCACGGGGCAGGTTTTCTGAGCCCATTTCTCTTGAGCCATGTCTCCCACTCTCTGATGCTGACATTCCTACTCACTAGGAGTAAGGAGCTCCCAAACCAGACTCTGGATTTTTATTTGCTTTGTAAAGTTCTCTATTTTACTTTGCTATTACACCTAGAAACATTCAGGTGTCACTTACATATTATTAAATACCTTTTCCCAGCTTATTCCTTTGAGACTTGGACAGCTCGTGCTTGGATGGACGGCAGATGCCTGTCACCTATTGGATGGAATTCCTGTTCCTCATTCTTAAGCCTAATATATAATGTTGAGGAGTATTGCCTAAAGTTGCGTTGGACTTCATAAACGGTATCTAACAGACTTTAGAGCTAATGGAAATTTGCCCTTTAGAGCTGCCTTTTTGAGAAGCTCAAGGTTTACTCCAGGAGCCCCACTAGTCAGGTTTAAGTTTTCTATAGCCAGAGTGGTGGCTCACACCTTTGATCCCAGCACTTGGTAGACCGAACCAAGCAGATCTCTGTGAGTGTGAGGCCAGCTTTGTCTACATAGAGGGTTTCAGGCTAGCCAGGGATACATAATCTGAAAACAAAAACAAAAAGCAGTTGTGTCCACAACAAATTATCTTAGCACAAATTGATATTAGTAGTCTATGTTTTTAGTAGCTTGTGTAATGTGCCATCTTACACTTTGGAGGTAAATTTAGTGTACAAGTAGGTAATGCCATTTTGTGGCAAAGGGAAGTGTGTGTGAAGAAATTTCTTCTTCTCTGAAGAAATTTGGCTACTTAGAATCAGGGCTAGTATTCAAATTTCCTGAAAAGGCAAGAAACCCAGCCCTTTTTTCCTCACTTGTAAGATGAGGATGATACCTATTTGATAGGACTGTCTCTGAGCTGTAATGAGGTGATGCTGCATAACAGCCATCCTTGTTTACTTAGTGCTCAGTTAGCAGCCCCTTCCTATACTAGACAGTTTCCAATGGAAGCTTCTGAAAGCCTGATAAGGCAGTAACGCAGGCGGAAGCTTTGGCCCCCACACCAGGTCAGTGCAAATATTTGCTGGACAATAGGTGTAGACTGTGGGCTCTCTTAAGTACCGGTCTCGAGCTCAAGTTACCAAACACCTCAGCTTTGTTTTCACAATATAAACTGACTGCACATAGGTTTCCTGGTTTGAATTCTTCACACATTAGTTTTGTGACTTAGTCTAGCAAGCTGACTATGCTGTCTTACATGTTAGTGTGTGTGTCAGAGAGAGAGACAGAGACACAGAGAGAGAATGAATATGGGTATGGAGGGTGGAAGGCAGCCCATGGAAGACGGTCTCTAGGATCAGTTTTGACAGGAAGCTCCTTTACTCGCTGAGCCATCTTTCTGGCTGTAGATTCCTTTAGTCCAGGACTCAAGGCCAGTGAATGGTGCCACTAATTGAGATTTCCCCACCTCAGTTAATTTAAAAAGGCTAATCTCTCACAGACCTGTACAGGGGCTAACTAATCTGCAGGTGTAGCTGGAGGCTTGCCATATAGGTAATTCCTGCTCTGTTGACTTAAGCTACTTAAGGCTCAGCTTCCTTTATCACCTGAGTAGGGTGGCAAGATTGAATGCAAGTTTTCACATTCACATTCGAAAAGCTTCAGTGTAGCCTGATACCACATATCTAGGTATCAGTATTAACACTACCCCTCCTTCATCCTGCTTTGTGTTGTGTGTTGGCCCCTTTGACCAGAGAGAGGACTCCCCAAAGAACAGTCTTCCCCCTGGTGACTCCCAAGATTCAAGAAGAATTCAGGGGCTGGAGAGACGGCTCAGTGGTTAAGAGCACTTCTGCTCTTGCAGAGGATCTGGATCCAGTTCCTGCATGCATATAGTGTGTATACATACACTTGGGCATACACACAAACTATTTTTTTTTCCAAAAGAAAAGTCTTACACAAGCAGCTTTATGTACTTTAGGCACAGACAGGGTCTCAAGCATTCCAGGTTAGTCTCATGCTCCTAGTCAACCTTGAACTCCTGAGCCTTCTGCTGCCACTTCCCCAGAGCTGGAATTACAGACCTTCCACACCTGGTTACACAATGCTTGGGGATTGAACCCAGGACCTCATGCTAGGCAAGCATTCTGCATTCTACCTACTAAGGTACACTAAGATACAGCCCTAGCCCACACTACCACCCTTTTTTTTTCCTCATTGAGGGTCTTGTATAGCACAGGCTGGCTTCAACCTTTCTATATAGTTGTAGATGATAAGAACTTCTGATCCTCTTGTCTCCACATTCCAACGGCCGGGATTACATGTGTGGGCCAGCATGGCTTATTTTACATGATGCTGGGGTTGAAGCCTGGGGCTCTGTGTGTGCTATAGAAGCACCCTGCTATCTAAGCTCCACCTCCAGTCCTTTCTTTCCCTATTCAGAGGATGGTGCCACATTTTCCCTGGTGAGAACCTGAGGACAGACCCTACCATGAGTGTCACCGCAGAGGTCAAGAGTCGTGGGATGAAGTTTGCTGAAGAGCAGCTGCTGAAGCATGGATGGACTCAAGGTCTCTTCCGTATCCTCCCAACTCCCTGCTCTCCTCTGCCCCGTGTCAATTCAGCCAGAGCAGAAACTAGTTTAAAGAGAAATCTTTAGAAGCATAAGTTTTCTGACCCATCTGGATTAGGGAAGAATGGGAGAAATCCTCATTTTGGATAACGAGAGACAATGAGGGGCAAGTGTCTGGGCAGACTGGAGGAGGCGGCAAGGAGATAGACAGGAAAGTTAGTTCTCCCTCAGACGGAGGCATTTACTAAGGAAGGCTATAAGGAATGGAGTGAGGTAGGTTTCTGAGAGGCAGAGTATACTCAGTGATCAGTATAAGGAATGGCAGTTAGCCCTGGAAGACTTGATGAGGGATCAGGTCAGGCTACAAAATAAATCACTCACTCTCCTCTGCAGGCAAGGGCCTGGGCCGGAGAGAGAATGGCATTACCCAGGCCCTCAAGGTGACACTGAAGCAGGATACTCATGGGGTAAGACTGGGAGGAGGTCAGCATGAATGGGAGAGGGGACTCAGGAGGGCCAGTGGGCGGGGCTCAGACTGTGACTTCTACTCATTATTCACCTGGAGGTGGGACACGACCCTGCCAAGGAATTTACAGACCACTGGTGGAGCGATCTCTTCAACAAGACTGCCGCCAGCTTGGTAGTAGACTCGGGGAAGGTATGAGCTTGTCAGGTATATCAAAGAAACTTGCAGGCCTGGGTGGGGTGGGGCAGTACAGCATGCCACTTTCTCACTGATACTTCCCAACAGGATGGAGTGCAGATAAGGCGTCTTTCTAAGGAGACCACCCAGCGCAGTCACCCCAAGCCCAGTTTGCTGTATCAGAAGTTTGTGAAGGTACTAGAGTGAGAGATCCAGCTCTCAGCTGCTCCCATCTCCCTGAGTCCTGATCCACTGCCTTGTGTGTCCAACTGATTCCCAGGATAGCCCAGTACACCCAGATCCTGTGTCCAGCCTTGCCGTGCCCATACCCTCACCCAGAACTGAAGTGTTAAGGTTCCATGGACCATTCCATCTGCTGGGGTAGCAGCGTGCACCACCACTGTCCAGCTCCATGCTTTTTAGTGAGACTGTCTCTGGCCCTTTATGCTTCAGGTCTGTCTCACTCACTCCTTTCAGGGACCGGTGTACACTAGCCAGCAGGTCTTTTTTTCCTCCTTTAAGAAGCCATGTTTTCCCACCTACCCTTTCCTCTGTCAGTTGTTCTTCCTTTACCCTTCACCTGCTAACCATGTCTTGCTGCCAGATTGGGATTACACATACACACTCACTAGAAACCACTCCCCACACCCTGGCCTGAGTTATCTGTGGGACAGGCAGCAGTCATCATAACTGCCCATGTTGTTACATCTGGACTAGACTCATCTCATCTCATTCTTTTTCTTCCTGCCTGCCTGCCTTCCTTTCTTTCCTTCCTTTCCTTTCACTTTGGTGTGTGTATGTGTTACATATGCATGGGAATGCTTGTGTGCAGAATGCCCATGCATGTGTGCAGATGGAAGCTAGGTATCTTTTTTATCTCTACCTTATATACTGAGCTAGGGTCTCTACTTCAGTCCAGAGCTTGCCAATTTGTCTAGTTTAGCTATCAAGCTAGCTTGCTTGCTGAGACTACAGGTGAGCAGTCTGCCTGCTCAGCATTTATGTGGGTGCTAGAAATCTGCACTTAGGTCCTCATGCCTGCATAGCAAGTGTGATTATCAGCTAAGCTATCTCCCCACCTGGATCCATTTCAGCTACATGGCCCATAATAGGTTATGAGTCTAGTTAAACAAGAATACTGGGGATAGGGGTGTTGTCTTTATTGTCAGTCACTGGTACTTTCTCCACTATGGACACTCAGAACACTTTTCCCTGCTTGTTCTACAATCAGCCAGCTGTGAGCCAGAGAGGCCCTGACTGCTCTACTTCCCAATAACTGTAGCCCATCATCTCGTGCACAAATTAAAATGCTCAGGCTGCATGGCTTTGCAAGGAACAATGGTGAGGGCTGTCAAATTCATGCCTTGGACATGAATCCCTTGGGGTTTCAGAAATGGAGGAGAATTGGTAATGGTATTAAGGTGGCTTCATCCATCTCTGTGGTCCTTTTCTTCTAGACAGCCACACTAACCTCAGGTGAAGAGAAGCCTGACAGAGATTTGGGGAGCTGCAGTGATGTTGACAGCCATGAACCCATGCCCCCAAAGATGTGAGACTTTATTTTGGTACTGAGGGCATATGGGAGAAGCTTTGGGATCTTAAGAGAATGAGCCTAAGCCTAATGCTTGACTGAGCTCTTGTTGAAGGAGAGTAGTTGTGTATTTGTGGAATTAATTAGATTGTACTAATCCTTGTATTCTTAGCACTTCAAAAAGTGCCTGGTTTTGAACAAGAGTGAAGATGAATATTTTTTAGAGAGAAAGAAAAAAAAAAGCCCTCTTACCATATCTGTTTGTGACTTGTCATCTGCCTTTACAGTCTGACTGATGAGATGCTACTCAAAGCTTGTGAGGGGCGAACAGCACACAAGTAAGTTGTGGTCCCCTTCTGGGTTCTCCATCTTTTCTGCCCATGCCTGAGGACAGCATGGGCCACCTCCCAGTTATTCCTATTCCAAGGGAATAACTGCTGTTGTTGACAAGTCCGTGTTTGAGGCTAGCCCTCCCTCTGTCCCAGCTGTCTCTGTAATACCTTTGCTGACTTGGACCCATCATCTGTCTTAGGGCTGCCCGGATTGGAATCACCATGAAAGCCAAGCTTGCTCGCCTGGAGGCCCAAGAGCAGGCCTTTCTGGCTCGGCTCAAAGGCTCAAAGGCCATGGACACCTCTCAACCACTGACCGACAGCAAGCCTTCCCAAAAAAAGAAAAAGAAGAGGAAGAAGAGAGAGGAGGAAGAGGCTGCAACAACTGAAAAGAGTCTAGGTGAGGAGGTCCTGGAACACACCGACAAGAGCTTCAGGAAAAGCAAGAAGAAGAAAAAGAGGCAGAAAGATGAGAGAGGGGGACCGGCTATAGGAAGTGAAGAGGAAGAGGCTGCAGGAGAGAGTGGACGTGGGGAACTGAGCACAGAGCAATCTGATCAGTCGTCCAGGAAAAAGAAGAAAAGGAGGAGGCAGCACCACGAAGAGAGGGAGATGGGAGTCTGTGATGAAGGAGGCAGAGATGTGGCAGGCGGGCCAAAGGCAGTCAACAGTGGAGCAGTTAAAGACCCCAGGAGAAGCAGCAAGAAGCGTCAGATGTGTGGGGAGGACTTGGATACCCAAGAGGAGGAAGGGAAGGCTGACCTAATGAGAGGAGAGAGAAAAGTCCAAAGAAAAGACAAAAGGAAAAGCCAGCAGTGCTATGAGGAGCTCTTGGATGTCAGCAATAAAGATGATGGCAGGACTTGGGAAGCAGAGGATGAGGTGGGCGAAGTCAGCCACACCCAAGAGAAAGCCAAAAAGAAGCGGAAGAGGGACTGAGGGTCTAACATGGATCTCGGCTCACTCCTTTTCAGGGGTAGCCTGGTTTGGGGCAGGTTTTCCCCACACTCCTCTGCAAGCAGCTCTGGAGCACCAGTCTGCTGAGGGGAGCCAAAGCATTCTATACTAGCTGAGGGGGTGAACGTGGTCCCCTGTGAAACTTCCTGTCCAAAAAGTATAAACCTGGTGCCTGGCAGCTCACCAGCTAAAGGATGGTGGGAAGAGGAACCAGGATGCAGGAATATTTGGAGTGTCTCTTCTAAGAAAAGTCTGAAAATGGAGACTTACATGAAAGTCTTTTTGTTTTTGAGACGGTTTCTCTGATATAGCTTTAGCTTTCCTAGAACTCACAGAACTCCATATGCCTCTGCCTCATGAGTGCTTAGATCAGAGGCATGCATGCACTGACACCCTGCAAAATGTTTTCATTTTAAATACCATGAAGGTTAAGAGAAACGTACATTGATACGTATGGGTTGGGTTACCCTCCCAGACTGCTTGTTTCTAATCATGATTAGGTGAGAGCTTGGGCCCCAAGCTTATAGGTCATTCCCAGCAGGAGAAGGTCTGAACACAAAGGAGATGGCACGCGGAGACTTGAAGAAATTCTGTTAACCTCTGGGGGTCTTGCTACAATGCTAAGCTGAATTAGTTTAGAGGCGTCATCTACCTCCCTGTGTATTACAAATAAGTAAGAATCATTCCTGGGTGGAAGATATCACACCTGAGTTATTTTCCATTGCTTACAAATGCTGGTCTGTTTCTCCAGAGAAAGCATAACCCACTGATAATTATTAAGGCCAGGAGACTCCAGTTTCAATACAGAAGATACCAAGTCTTTATTGAGAAACCTGCCTACCCACCTCCCTTACTGTAGACGGTAGACACACTCTGTGTCAGGGTAGGATGGCAGGTTCAGCTGGTACTTCTTTTCTAGAGCAGGTGGTACAAAACGACCCCCAAGGTAATGATATCGGCCAGTAAATAGGGTTGCAGACTTCTTGGGTGCCGTCAGTGAGATGAGTAGGTCTGGTTGGATTCCACTAGGGTTTCCCTTCTCTACATCCCATCCTGAAGAGAGAAAATAGTATAAGCAAGTACAGAAGGCCTGGTCCTGAGGAAGAGGGAAACCCCTCAGTCCCCACTTAAATTCTCAGTCCCATGTACTATTGGGCTCAGGTTTCCCCACAGGGCAAGCCAGCATGAACTTTGCTACCCAGCCCTAATGTGGGACAGTCAGTCCCCTGGGTACCAGTCTTAGCCAGGTTTAAGCACAAGTTCCCCAACCACCTGAGCCTCAGCACCTGAGGGAATGTCGATGCTAGCAATGGGCACAGTAAGTCCACTCAAGACACTCAGGATACTGTGGAATGGCTCCCGAACATCACCCTTGAAACTGAAGCCGAAGATGGCATCCACCACCAGTTCATACAGCTCATCAACCATCATGGGCTGGGAGGGTGCAGGAAGAGGAAAGGATGTCAGGAACGGTCATCACACAGAGGGCTGTCCCTGCACCCACTGACCACAGAAGCGTAGATGTAACTGGTTCCTAAGGCACAGACTAAAGAAGAATCACTCATTCGCGCCAGTCTGAACCCAGGCATATTTTCTGTTCTGAGTACTTGTCTGTCACTGGTGAGTGGGGCGGACAGCCAGTCTCAGATTTCCTGAGACTGGAAGCCAGAAGGGACTAGTTCTGCATGTCAGTATCTTCATTCATAGAATAAGTCGGTTTGTTTTGTTTTCTCATTTCCCACCCTTAATCCATGCATCTACAGGAAAGGTTCAGGATGAGGCCTGGAGGGCCAGATTACTGTTAGCTGCTGTGGGAGGTGTTTGGCTGCAGAACAGGAGTGCCTGGAGCTGCTAGTGTTGGAAAGTCGTGGAGCGCGCAATATGGAGGGGCTTCTGCACCACTTTTATTTTTAAGAGCGCTTTTTAGGGCAGACAGACACTAGGCAGGCCGGCTTGGTCTGAAAACATGAAGGGAAGGGCAGGGGCAGTACTTACTGGAGAGATGAGGCATCAACCCACCTACCTCTGGGGGCATTTCACCGAGGAAAGGAATGTCCATTTTCTGACACTGAGTCACTAGCCCAGTGAAGAGTGGTTTGTTAGGTCTTTTGGGGTAGTAGATAGTTGGCTGGTAACCCTAGTTGAAAAGGAAAGTAGCTTTTCAATCTCCGATCTTGAATCCTTATACCTTGCCACAAAAACTCCATTCACATACTCACAAAAAGTTTGAGGTGTCGCGCACAGACCAGCCCATCCCCTCCGTTATTTCCGGGGCCACAGATGACCAAGACAGTCGGGGGACTCTTGGACATAGACGTGGGGGGATAAGCCTGAAGGCAGATGTGCAAAGGGTCGGGCAGTCACCGATGTGTGTACCACCGCCCGGGACTTCCCCTCCCGCTCCTCACAAAGGCTTCTCGCTGTGCCACATACCTTGGCAATGGCCGTGGCACAGCTCAACCCGGCCAGCTCCATGAGTTGATCCACGCTGAACTGGTATTCGTTAAAAAGCTCCTCGTCCACGGCCTGAGCCTCCTCCTGGCTGAGGGAAGTCCTGGCCTGAGTCCGCCCCTGGGGTGCTGGGGCCGCGGCCTGCCCCGCCCCGCCCCCGCGGGAGAGCGCGGCCGTACCTCAGGTACTTCACCGCAGCGCTCGCCATGGTCTCCGAGGCCCGGCGCTGTGTTCCCCACCAAATGGGCCTTGCACGGCACACACTCTGCCGGCTTGCGATCCGTGGCAGGTGCGAGCCTGCAACCAGCAGACCCAGCCCCAGCAGTGTCCGCAGCCCGGACATTCGACTAGCAGAGCGCCCCCTGCATGGCGCATGCGCAGGGCCCGTCCCGCCCCAGCGTCTTTGGCATCGAACCGACCGTTTCTAGTCCCAGGCTCTCAGGCGTTCCGCGCACCTTCGTTCCGGCCTGCGTTCTCACCTTTCCCCAGAGTTGCAGAGTTCCATACTTCTGTACAGATGCGCTTCGCTTCCCGTGCAATGTTGGCTGGCCTCTATCTCGAAGCAGTTCTGTTGCCTTCAGCCTCCTTGCTGAAAGGTGTGATTACACGCATGCTTTGTGTCCAGCTTTTATAGTTATAAGAGAATTATTATCTCTTCTAGGGAATATCTTTGACCTCTCGCTATCTATCCCTGCTTTTGTTTGTTTGTTTGTTTTTAACACTTAAAAATACAAGGGTTGGCCAGGCAGTGGTGGCGCACGCCTTTAATTCCAGCACTTGGGAGACAGAGGCAGGCAGATTTCTGAGTTTTTGAGGCCAGCCTGGTCTACCGAGTGAGTTCCAGGACAGCCAGGGCTACACAGAGAAACCCTGTCTCGAAAAAATCAAAAAACAAAAACAAACAAACAAAAAAAAAACCCAAACCAAACCAAAAAAACAAGGGTTGGAGGGAGGAGGCGTGCACGTGCCCTGTTGCACATATAGAGGTCAGAGGACAATTTCTGTGCCTCCGATCTCTCCTACAACAATGTAAGATCCGAGGATCGATCACAGGTTGTCAATCTCGGCAGTCAGTGCCCTTGCCCTCCGAGTGGTTTTGTGGGCCTCTGCCCTCTCTGTTTTACTTATTTGATGTAGAAAATAGAATTTTTAAGGCTGTGATAGTGGCAGGAACTTTGGATTATCCGTGTAATTGAACTTCGAGTCCAAGGTTCCATGGTCTTATTCAGGACCTCACTAGCTTTATTTTCTGATTTCACTAGCGTGTGAGTGGCTTCACTTTTGCAAGTTACTCAAGACTCCTTACAGATTTGCTAGAAAATATTTATTTAGTTAATTTTTGGTCAGCTGGTTTTGTTTTCAATTGTTTCAGAGTATGAGTATGTGTACATGGCCTCAGGTGCCCTTGGGAACCAGAGGTGTCAGATCCCCGAAGCTACAAGAGGCCTCATATGGCCTAGGCTGCCCTGGATCTTATGTTGCCAAAGATGCCCTCAAATGCCTGATCACCCTGTTGAGTTCCGGTCTGGGCCACTGTGGCTGGTTTTATTTAAGTTTAGTGGTTCTGCTGATTCATTTATAAAACACAATGTGAAGCATGTTTATTCGGCATAGATAATACGTTAAGCACTTACAGGTGCCGAGTGCCAACATGAACCACCTCATTTCATATAGCAACCCTGTTATTCCCATTTCAAAGGTTAATAAAAAGAAGAGAAGGAAGAGGAGGAGGAGGAGTTAGGAGAAGAAGAAGAAAGGAGAAGAAGAGGATGAGGAGGAGGGAGGAGGAGGAGAAGAAAGAAGAGGAGGAGGAAGAGGAGGAGGAGAAGAAGAAGAAGAAGAAGAAGAAGGAGAAGGAGAAGGAGAAGGAGAAGGAGAAGGAGAAGGAGAAGGAGAAGGAGAAGGAGAAGGAGAAGGAGAAGAAGAAGAAGAGGAAGGAGAAGAAGGAGGAGAAGGAAAAGAAGGAGAAGGAGAAGGAGAAGAAGAAGGAGGAGAAGGAGAAGAAGGAGAAGAAGAAGAAGGAGAGCACCTGCCCAGTGATAGTGATGGCTGATGGTGGAGCTGGAATCTCAGCAGGCTGACCTTCAGCCTTCTGCCACTTATCCTGTTGCAGAAAGATATAAATAATGGCTTATCCCTCCTGAATTCATCCTGATGGGCTGTAACTATAGAACAATACAAAAAATACCCCATCCACAGAACTCAGGAGACAACCAATGGAAGCTGCTTCCACAAAGGCTGCCTCTGAGTACCAATTGGTAGGTACCCTCTGTTGCTACCATGCAGCCTTTTGGGTTTTCCTTGAGGAGTGGTTTCAAATCTAAGCAAGAGTCACATGGATTGAGTCCCTGCTGAGTCCCAGAGATTTTGCATCTATATTCCATTTTAATTCTGTCAAACCCATAATGTACTTTTAGCCGATCATCGATAAGAATATTCAATCAGATAAATGGGTTAGGCAATGGCGGTTGGTTAGGCGCCTGATACAATAGCGACATTCCTGTGCGGCAGACGCCATCATTTGCTCCTCAAAACCCGTTCTCCTTTCCTAGCAGAGCCTGATATTCATCTCTTTGTGGAACGGCACAGCAAACCCAACATTCTTTAGTCTCCGTCGAGCCCAGTAAGAATGGCCATGTAAGGGCTGGAGAGATGGCTCAGTGGTTAAGAGCACCGACTGCTCTTCCAGAGTTCCTGAGTTCAATTCCCAGCAACCACATGGTGGCTCACAACCATCTGTAATGGGATCTGATGCCCTCTTCTGGTGTGTCTGAAGAGAGCAATGGTGTACTCATAGACATAAAATAAATACATAAATAAATAAATAAATCATTAAAAAAAATAAAACCATTTGCAAAATAGTAGTTCCTATAAAAAAAAAAGAATGGCCATGTAATTAAATGTTGAACATTTATGAGCAGAAATGATATGGATAGACAGACAGACAGAGATATAAAACCACTCCCATATTCTTTTGGAGATGTGTGTTATTTTGTTTGAGTTTTTTTGTGTTTTTGAGACAGGGTCTTACCATGAGCTCTGGCTTTCCTAGAACTCACTATGTATACCAGGCTGGCCTTGAACTCACAGAGATCTGCCTCTCCCTGCCTTCCAAGTGCTGAGATTAAAGGATACACCACTGTGCCTGGCTTCATCATGTACTTTTAAAAGATATCTTCCACATCTTTTCTTATTGCTGGGATGGATTGAAGGCATGATGCTGTCTTAGTTAAAGAGTTTCTATCACTGTGATGATTCCTGACCAAAG